AAGGTGACTGTCAAAAAACGCAGATTCCATTTTAACAATTTTCCTCCATGTATCTTTAGTTTGTCTCTATGCTGCCCAACGGGTTTTTTCTTCCTCTTTCCCAACGTGGCTTTCTGTATGTGAGCTACTTCAGGCCTTTCTTCTGTGTTGCTGTTCTTTGATTTATTCATTGGTTTGTTAGTCTGGCATCTCTCTGAGGGAAGCTTGTTTCCTCCAGAGTTGAAATGAGATTTTTGTCCTTGGTATGTTAGGCCAGCCAAGTGCTTCACAGAATCATCACTACTAAGAGTTGTGTTACTGGAAGGATGCCTAGATCACTGTGCTGACACCTACAGTTCCTGTCTGATTCCTTGATCTTCTGAACTGAGCTGTGCTATGCAGGTAGGAGTTGAATAATGTGTGTGCAAATGATGTCATGGTAAAGGATTACTTTTCTCGTTGCTTCATGAGGTGTTCGTATTTTCTAGAACATGTTTCCTTATAATGTTCTATATTCCTATAGATATATTTGTATACCTTTGTTATTATTACCTAAATACAATACAATGCAAAGACATTTGGAGTCATGTTTACCTAACACAGATTTATGTGATTCATAAAACTTTGAGACAGCTGGATGGTTGACCCTATTTTCTGTCATATCTCCATAGTGCTAACATAGGTGGCTGATTTTGATTAAATCGAGTTTTGTCACTTTCCTTAATTAGTGCTCTGAAGGAAGGTCAACTGAAGATTTACCAGTTTCAGGCAATGTCCCACTGATCCCAAGGTACCTTGTATATTATGTTAAACATATGCCAAGTGCACACATCTGCCACACTTTTGTCATATTCTTTGTTGCATCACACTTTCTAACATAATCATAAAACAGTGAATTCCTATTGTGTCAGTTATTAGAAAATTTGAATATTTCCCTGATAACTTTTAGAATGTTGTATATTTTTAATGTACAAATTGTTGAGGCAACATTAAACTATAGCTTGAATATCAGAAAATCATATAAAAATATTAAATTCATATATTAATGTTTCATCTCACCCTTCTATTTGCATTTTAATGAGAAAAGACAATAAAACAATACAAAATTTTAAAACAAGAGAGTAGGAGAGTAACAATGTTTAGTACATTGCTTATTGTTATTTTCAAAGTAGTTGCTCAGATTACAAGATATAGGCATGAAAACTTGATCCAATTGTATAAGCAGAAGCCTTTCATTTCAATGGATAGAAATTAGTAGTACAGCTATCTTAAAGCTCATACATATATATATATAGAATGTATATGTATGAGAGTCAAGATTATATATATATATATGAGAGTTAGGGTAGCTATACTACCATATATATAGTGTAGGTATATATATATATATACTTTATATGTACATATTATATATATACATATATATGTATTTACTTTTACTTTCGCCTTCCTTCTTTTCTCCTTTCCCCCATCCCAGTTCTCTGTCCTTTTGAACAGTTTCTTCCAATTGCTATAGTACATTTTGGATCTTATTTACAGTTCAGCTTCTTACACTAGGGAGACAAGATGATATTTACATATTTGAGTCTGATTTATTTCACTTATGAATATGGTGTCAAGTTGCATCCATTTATTTACAAAAGTCTCAAGTTTGTCCTTGTTTGTAGCCAACTAATACTGCATTGTATAAGTCCACATCACTTTTACCCTTTCCTCAGCTGATGGGCACTTGGGTTGTTTCCAACGTTTAGCTATTACAAATTGTGCTACTATAAACACGGGTGAACATATATTGCTGTGGTGTGATGTTTCTCATTCTACTGGGAAAATACCAGATTATATTCGGCCCTCTAATTCTCTTTTTTGAAGACTCTCCACACTGATTTCCACATTGGTTGCACCAGTCTACACTCCCACCAAGAGCGGAGCAGGGTTCCTTTTTTCCCCCAGCCCCTCTAGCATTTGTTATTGTTTGATTTCTTGATGACAGTTATTCTTTCCAGGTTGAGATGGCATCTCAGGGTTGTTTTAATTTGCAGTTCTCAAATAACCAATGTTGTGGAACTATTTTTCATATGTTTCTTTGCTATCCATGTTTCTTTATCTGAGAAGTGCATATTCATCACAGATGTCCATTTGGGGAATGGCTCTTTAAATTTGGATTTTCTGATTTATTCAATTCTTTATAAATTCAACATGTAAGTCCTTTGTTTGAGAGACAGTTGGCTAATTTTTTTTTCATTCTATGTGTTGTCTTTTCCATATGTTGGTGATTTCTTTTTATATGCAAAATGCTTTTAATAGATGAGATCCAAGTTGTTGATTCTTTGGAGTATTTCTCAGGCAGTTTGGATTTTGCTCTTGAAATCATGGCCCACACCTATGTCTCCAAGATTTCTATCTATTTTTTTCTTCCAGTATATATAATGATTCTGTTTTAATATATAAATCTTGGATCCATGCTGACTTTGGTTTAGTGCATGGTCTGCCATTATTTCTGTGCACAGTTTTTTTTATGACATTTGTGCTTTCTTAAGCTTTCTCATTGACCCCATTCCAACTTATGTTATTCTAATTTGTATCATCTTGTAACATTGGATGGATTTTTCATAGTCTCTTGCTAATTTTAAGTTATCTCATGTTCACTAGCTGAAATTCTGTCTTCAATATCTGACATTCTATCCCCTCTTTCATTCAATCTGTGTCATATACTTTCAATGGAGATTTTAAAATCTTGGATTTCTGTTTGAATCTCTTTCATGGAACCCATTTCTTTCCCATTGGGCATTTTTTGTTTCCATCATTTTTCTATGCTTATTCATTTTTTATGTGTCTTCTCTAACAGCTTTGATTTAAAGCATTATTTCTTTTCTACCTGAGGGAGTATTTTCTCTGTAGCCTTTTCCACTTGTTTTTTTCACTTCTGTTACTATCACTTCAGAAAGTTCCAGTGTTTGACTTCCAATTTTATCTGTCTCATTGTGTTCTAAGATTGCTCCATTTAGGTTGGGGGGATGGGGCTGCATTTTGTTTCTGTATCTTGTCATATTCTATTTTCTGTTTTTTATTTTATTTTGCTTTTTGTATTGATGCTTGAAGATTTCTTATGATATTTTATCACAAGTTTGAGGCTTGCCTAGGAGGCAATGATGTCTTGTCCTTGTAGGTGGTTCTTTATAACTACCCCAAGAACATATCTTCCCAATTTGTAAAGGATGCAAAATTACTATTTGGTGCACTACCCAATCCTTTGGTACTAGGCTGTGGTGATGATTATGACCCCATACAATCACAGCTTTATCATATAGGGGAAAAGAACTGATTATAACATGTTTGACATCATGGTTAAAGTAGTACAATTAGTACTAACAATAATTTCAAGTACAGCTTAACTACTGATAGTCTGTGATAACCACTAACCTACTACCTCCAACCACGAGAGCAAACTCTAAAGTTATATTTTAAAAAATCAAACATATACCATGCATTTGTATGCAGTGATTTTCTCCACAGTGGAATGATTTTACCCTTTTGTGGGGGTTGAAGGGGTTCAGATGGGTAGGGGACAGGATAAAGTAATGCATGATGTCAAATATAGTAGTGTCAATGCTGGGCCAAAGCACGATCATCTGAGTTTTGGGAAACTGGAGGACATAGGAGGGAAGGAATGAAATAGAATGTGAAGGAGCAATCAGAAAGGGAAGAGACAGTGTTTACTCATTTGAAATTTTACATTCAAAAAGTAGTTGAGGAAAGAGAGAAAGAGGATCAATAGAAGAAAACAAAAAAGATAGACAAGAAACATAAACAGTGAAAAACAGAAAGGAAAAAGAGGAGAACAGAAAAGAAAGGAACAAAAGAAG